CCACATTAGGAGAACCATCCGTCCTCCACCCGTGTATCTGCCGTAAGCTTTTAGGACGAATGTGCACGGCGCTGAGGCGATAGCCACAGTTTGAGTGCCATTCTCTCTCCATCCTTGCATCTGTGGCCGGCTTTTAAGGCGAATGGGCGGGTCCGAGAGTTGTTTTTTGTTTATACGATCCGTCCTCCATCCATGTAGCTGTATGAAGCCTCATGATCATTCACGGTGGGGGGATCTCATGTGAAACGATGCGTGGTGCGACGATGAGGAGTCAAATGCTGGAAGACTTTTGGGGGAGGAGAGGGGATGGTGAGGAGGGACGAGGAGGAAGCCCACGCGAGGGGGGGACTCAGTGCTGAAAGTGCTGAGGGCGTGGGAGGACCGCGAAGCGGACCTATTCATCAAGACTCTCTTGACGTGCGTGGAGGTTCTTGCCAATGGTGACGGGGCGCAAACACAAACTCGTTGCTTGTAGGGATTTGGGCAGGAGGCGGGGTCGAGCATTCACCAATATGGCGCTCCGGCGGAGCGTGCCCACGGCTTGGCTGCATGGTGCACAACACTGAGAGTCGTGCTTTGCACGTGTGGGGTGACGTATCGTACCGCCGTGTGTGTCGCAGCAAGACCCCCGAGCACAGCCCCAGGCCGCAGCCCCAGTGGCCGACTCCAGACGACGCCAGATTGTGGTCACATGATTCGTGCCACCCCGCACCACGGGTAGAGTCATGGGGCGCAGTCTGAGGTTTCGACAGCAGGTCAGGCACACCTGCAGCACTGGCGAAGGACTTCTGGGGCACGCCGAACAAGTCAGCCCTGGGGAGCAAGCAAGCCTAAGAGCGCGCCCCTGGAGCACGGCTCCTCAGTACGAGGAGGACTCCCGAGCAGCCAGGCCCTTGGGTTTGGGCAGGTGCGGCGCAGAGTGGGCGCTCTGGAATGCGGTCGACCGGAGCACTGCACATTCGAGTGAGCATGCGGCGCGCCCAAGGGGTGAAGTGAGATGGGGGCAGGCCTCCTCTGAAGGCGGTGTTCACAGAAGCTCTCGCGCCTTTGAAGAGTCGTCTGTGTCTTCGGAGAAGGCTCACGCAGGAAGCTTCTCAGAAGGCTGGAGGCCCTTTGGAAAGCCCCGCCCCCTCTGCCTTCGCCCCTGGGCTCGCCGCTGGGTGCAGCAGCGAAGGCCGGGCCGAAGGTCGGACAGGTCTTAGCAACGAAGGCAATTGCTGCTCTTGAGTCGGCCTCGAGCGGGTGTGGAATTGCGTGCATGGAGGGGCATGGCGGTGAAGTCATGTAAGCAGTAAAGCAGAACATATGCCAGCCTGACTTAAAGACTTACCTTCTGATGGGCCGGAGAGCGGATCGAGGCGCGGCAAGGGGATGGCCCAGCCCGTCACGCACACGACAGTCGCACGCTGAGGGTTTGAGTTCTTTCAGGACGTTCTGTTTGTGGTATGTTGTCAGTATCTGTGCTAGACTGTTATGCAGATTGTGTCACTGGCGCCCCCGATTAGGGAACGGATATAACTACCGTCGTGTATATCTATATACGTACATGTTTACATACACACAATATACACATAAATATATTTGTACATATCAGCCGTGGCGAATTCGGCGCGCGGCGCGGCAACATATGACGTGTCAAGCACAGGCAAGGTGTGTCGCGCACAACGACCATAATGAAGCTGCGCTTCATCTCACAAGCCAGACTTGACATGACCAAGGCGTCGGCTTCCATGCTGGCTGTTGCCATCGGGTCGATGTAGAACAGAAATTTGTGGAGGGTCCTTTCTGGGCGGTTCTGCGCAGTTGCCATGCCCCCAACTGCTTGCGAGTGGAGCTTTGGCATGCGACCCCAGGGGGCGGCTTGGCCACGCATGAAGTCTGCCCCCCCCCCCCCCCCACCCCCCACGCCCTTCCGAGGTGTACTTCGTTGGGGGCTTCTCCACGGCCATCGGAAGCGCGCCTCGCCACAGCGCCATCGTCCCCTCGGCCCCTACCCAACAGGGTGGTCCCCAGTGGTGGTCTTGCGCTGCTCAGCGCGCGGGGCGCTTGCCATCCCAGAGTCGTGCGCCTTCTTGTGCGCTGAGAGCCTCTGCTTCCCCCGTGAATGATGCTGTGCGCCAGCCCCAAGAGCGGGGCGCACGCGCGGCTTGCCGCGCGGCTCCTGGACCGACCCGCGGTCCGCATCGGTGCGTCTCTTCCTCTCTCTCTCTCACACTCTCTCTCTCTCTCTTTCTCTTTTCTCTTCTCTCTCCCTTCTCTCCCTCTTTCTCTCTTCTCTCTCTCTCTCTCTTTCTGTCTCTCTCTCTCTCTCTCCTATCCCTCTCTCTCTGTCGCTCGCTCTCTCCATCCCTGGCCCTTCTTATTTCCCTCCCTGCTGGGCGCCGCCAACTGTCCCGACGTTCCGCCCAGGTGCGGGAGGGATGATTGTGTCCGTCATACACGAAGACATGCTTCGAGGAGAGCTGAGCTTCGACTACCTGGACGGCGGTCTTCACACAAGGCCAGGCTGGGGAGGAGGGGAGGAGAAGGAGGGGAAGGAGGACAGGGACGATGCTGGGGAGGGGGTGGAGTCCCGAGGACGGATGAGTGCGTGCGTGCGTGCGTGTGCGTGTGCGCGTGTGTGTGTGTGTGTGTGTGTGTGCGTGTGTGTGTGCGTATGTGTGTGTGTGTGTGTGTGTGTGTGCGTGTGTGTGTGTGTGTGCGTGTGAGAGAGAGAGAGAGAGAGAGAGAGAGCATTCTGCCTCCTTCGACATCTCTGATCGTGGTAGGAGGGCCAGCGTTGAGCGCCATATGCATTTGGCCCCTCCGTCCCTACCTCCGCTTCCGCCCTCGCCTTGCCTTCGCCGTCGTACTGCCCTGGTCCTTCTCCCCGCCCATGCCAGCGCCCCGTGGGACGCCCGTGCTGCACAGTGTTGGCTCCTCCTCCCCGCCGACCATGACCGGTTGCTATGTGCTGCCGCTCGCCGGCTCGCGCTGCGACCAACGCGTGGGGCGCTCCCGTGGCGGGCAGCGTCGCACTGGAGATTCGATATTCTCGTCCCGCCGAGCGTCAGCGCTCGCACACGCGCCATCCGGTGGGCCAGGCTGAACGGGCAGCCAGCACCCAGGAGGAGGAGGAGGAGGAGGAGGAGGAGGAGAAGGAGGAGGGGGAGGAGGAGGAGGAGGAGGAGGAAGAGGGCCGCCCACACTGGGCACCTCGCTCCTCCCCGCAGCCCACGCCCAGATTCTGTGGTAAAAACAGACACGCACTTTTTTTTTGTTGTTGTTTTTTTTTTGTGTGTGTGTGTGTGTTTTTTTTTGTGTGTGTGTGTGTGTGTTTTGTGTTTTTTGTGTGTGTGTGTGTTTTTCCCACAGTGTGTGTGTGTGTGTGTGTGTTTTTTTTGTGTGTGTGTGTGTGTGTGTGTGTGTGTGTGTGTGTGTGTGTGTGTGTGTGTGTGTGTGTGTGTGCGTGTGTGTTTTTTGTGTGTTTGTTTCCCTGCAGCTCGCGCCCGGACTGCTAGGGCTGCCGCTTCCTAATGGATGGCGCCCGCGGCGGTCCGGGAGCGATTCGCGCGAGGGGGCCCGGCCGCGCGCGCTGCTGCTGCTCGGGGCCTCCGCCCTCCGCGCTCGGGTCTCCGCGCTTGTCGCACCTCGAGGGCTGCCACCCCCTCTCGGTATCGTTTGACCAATTCCCATCCCTAGGGTTATGGCGGGCCTGTCCCCCTACATGGGGATTTTCGACGAAAAATAGAACATACCCCCCAAAATAGTTTAAAAATACTCCAAAAATAGTCCGGGGATTATTTTTTGAGTATGTTTTTACCTTTTTGGGCGTATTTTTTTGAGTATTTTTTATTTTCGTCGAAAATCCCTCTGTAGGGGGTGGACAACAGAACCCCCAGCAGTGACACGTCGATTAGTGAACTGTCCGTTTTCGGCTCTCGAGAGGGCGCCGTGGTCGTTATTTTCCTGGCTTGCGCCCGCCAGGTTTGGGCTTCAGGTCGTTTTCACTAAACCACGTTTTACTAAAGGGGGGTCTGTCCATCTCCGACAATGACTTATGTCGGGCGTGTCCCCCTACAGGGGGATTTCGACGAAGATTTAAAAATACCCCAAAAACACCCCAAAAGGTCAAATAATGCTAAATAAATAGTCCCCAGACTATTTTGGGATTATTTTTTGATTACTTTTAGGGTATTTTTTTTTTTCCGTCGAAAATCCCCCTGTAGGGGGACAGGCCCGACTTAACGTTTGACCAATCCCCATCCCTAGGGGAACAACAAGTCACATAAACATAAAAACTCGGAGGTCCGCGCGGATTTCTCGGATCGGCGCTGGCCCCCCCGTCCCTGGCGCGCGGAGCGCGCCAGGGGCGGCGCCGGAGGCCTAATCCCCATCCCCATCCTCTTCGAGACCCCCACCAAATTACCACCCCAGTCGGGGATACACCCCTCGAAGCCCGAAGCGAACGGCCTATATCCCCACCTAGGGGGGTAAATCGGCCAGTGGGGCCCAGGCCACGCCGCTGGGGATGGGGATTGGTTCAACGATGCTCACCTTCCTCTTCCTCCGCTGGCTTGTGCGCCGCTGTGCCCACAAGCTTGTCCTCTCACCTACGAGCAGAGATCGCCAGGCCCTTGGAGGGAGAGATCGGAGCTGATTCGGACAGCTCCGATTGAGGTGGAACTTCTTTTCTCGTTGATGTTGATGTGTAAATAAAATCACGCCCCCACGCAATGTGGTCAAATTGCTTTGAGTGTGTCCCGCTTCTTCAGCTCGTTGACAATCGGTTGCACTCCATTGGTGCGCCGGAGGAGGAGGAGGAGGAGGACAAGGCGAAGAAGGAGGACGATCAGGAGGAGGATCAGAAGGAGGTGTGGACCAAGTGAAGAAGGAGGATGATGAGGAGGAGGAGGAGGGGGAGGAAAAGGAGAAGGTGAGGAAGGAGACCAGGTGGAGAAGGGATACAATGATGATGAGGAGGAGTATAATGAGCTGTAGACCAAGTGGTCAACATAATTACAGTAGTTTTCTTGCTTCGAGCGATGCCCACCGGAACCTCCGGTGTTGGTTCCTGACGGCGCGCGCGCCTACCGGAACGACGCCTCCTGTTGTGATCGACTCCTCTTGTGTACGATTATATTCCATTCCGTTTTTTTTTTTTTGTTCCAGTATGCAATTTTTTGAGTCTTCGCTAACTCTGTTATGTTATGTTAATGTTTGCGATGGTCCCTGTCTCTTTTCCAAACACATGTCCACAATATTGTATGTTCTCTTATGTTCTGCTTTACTTAAATGCTTATCAGCAGTGTTGATCGTAGTGTTTGTGTTCGTAGTCGTAGTAGTAGTAGTCGTATTATTATTAGCAGTAGTAGTAGTAGTAGTAGTAGTAGTAGTAGTAGTAGTAGTAGTATTAGTAGTAGTAGTAGTAGTAGTAGTAGTAGTAGTAGTAGTAGTGGGAGTAGTAAAAGTACTAGTAGTGTAAATCGTCGGAGTCGTAGTAGTCGTAGTAGTAGAAGGCGTCGTAGGATTTGTAGTGGTAGTAGTAGCAGCAGCAGCATCAGAAGCAGTAGTCGTCAGAGTCGTAGCAATAGTAGCAGTAGTATTTTTAGTAGTAGTAGTAGTAGTAGTAGTAGTAGTAGTAGTAGTAGTAGTAGTAGTAGTAGTAGTAGTAGTAGTAGTAGTAGTAGTAGTAGTAGTAGTAGTAGTAGTAGTAGTAGTAGTAGTAGTAGTAGTAGTAGTAGTTGTAGTCGTATTAATCGTTGAAGTAGTAGTAGTAGTAGTAGTAGTAGTAGTAGTGGTAGTAGTAGTAGTAGTAGTCGTAGTAGTAATAATACTCATAGTAGAACTAGTAATAGTAGTGGCAGTCGTAGTAGTAGTAGTAGTAGTAGTAGTAGTAGTAGTAGTAGTAGTAATCTCAGTAGTAGTACTATTCATATTAGAAGTAGTAGTCGTCGAAGTAGTAGTAGTAGTAGTAGTAGTAGTAGTAGTCGTAGTAGTAGTAGTAGTAGTAGTGTAGTAGTAGTAGTAGTAGTAGTAGTAGGTTAGTAGTAGTAGTAGTAGTAGTAGTAGTAGTAGTAGTAGTAGTAGTAGTAATAGTAGTAGTAGTATTAGTAGTAGTAGTAGTAGTAGTAGTAGTAGTAGTAGTAGTAGTAGTATTAGTAGTAGTAGTAGTAGTAGTAGTAGTAGTAGTAGTAGTAGTTGTTGTAATATCACCAGCAAGGAGCAATATTCGTAGTAGTAGTAGTAGTAGTAGTAGTAGTAGTAGTAGTAGTAGTGTAGAGGCCCCTAGTAGTAGCAGTAGTAGAAAGTTAGTAGAAGTAGTAGTAGTCGTAGTAGTAGTAGTAGTAGTACGTTTATTAGTATTATAGTAGTAGTAGTAGTAGGTAAGTAGATAGTAGGAGTATAGTAAGTAGTAGTAGTAGTAGTAGCGAGTAGTACGTCGTAGTCCGTAGTAGCAGTAGAAGTAGTAGTCGTAAGTAGCCGTCGTAGTAGTAGCCAGTAGTAGTGTAGCTAGTAGTAGTTAGTAGTAGCGTAGTAGTAGTAGTAGTAGTAGTAGTAGTAGTAGTGTAGTAGCAGTAGCAGTAGTAGTAGTAGTAAGTAGTAGTAGGTAGTAGTAGTTAGTTAGTAATAGTAGTAGTTCGTTAGTAGTCGTAGTAGTAGTAGTAGTCGAGTAGTAGTAGTAGTAGTAGTAGTAGTAGTAGTAATCGTAGTCGTAATATTAGTACGTGTCGTAGTAGCAAGTTGTAGTTGTAGTAGTCGTAGTAGTAGTAGTAGTAGTAGTAGTAGTAGTAGTCCTAGTTTAAGTAATATTATTATAATTAGTAGTAGTAGTAGTAGTATTAGTAGTCGTAGCAGCAGCAGTAGAACAAGTAGTATCAGTAGTGGTAGTAGTAGTAGTAGTAGTAGTAGTAGTAGTAGTAGTCGTAGTCGTAGTCGTAGTAGTAGTAGTAGTAGTAGTAGTAGTAGTAGTAGTAGTAGTAGTAGTAGTAGTAGTAGTCGTCAGAGTGAGGGGGCCGAACGGTCATTCACCGTCCCTGGGTGCGTGGCTGAAGTGAGATTCCGCGGTGCGGATTCGTGTTGTTGTTGTTTGAACATTATCTATTCTAAAGAATAATTATTGTTGGGCCCCCTGGTGCGCGCCCCCCCTGCGCCGCCTAGGCCGCAGCTACATTTTCATCATTTTCGTGAGGAAGCCTCAGAAAAGAGGGTGTGTACAGGACCCGGTTGTTTTGTTGTAATCCGCTTTCCCTTGCAAAAAACAATAGAAAATGACATTTCTTGTTCTAATATAATCAAATTTCAAGAATCCCTTGCAAAAAAAAAGGTAAAGTGGACATTCGCGCGCGCAAGACGAAATCCTTCCAAAACCTTAGTGTTCGCAGCGATTTTAACATAAAAACATCAAAAAACCAATGGTTTTTCAACAAAAAAATGTCAAAAACTCATCCCGCGCGCTCTTGCGGATTCGTAGGAAACCCAACACTTTTTAAACATTTCTGTCAAACGGGCTTTTGCGAG